TCTGTATCATATATAAAAATAGCCTCTATAGTCAAGTGGTAATTAATATTTGTATGGTTTAGTCAGACACCTCTCAATTAAATTAGTTTTTGTCAACTTTTGTTTCTAATGATTAATCGTGTCTAAAAAATTGCTTTTCTATGTTTATCTTAACTAAATACTTAACTAGGGTTTTGATGAAATTATTAAATGGCATTCAATAAGAGTAGGATATTTGGTATAAATTAATCATACCTGTTGTGATTAGTAGCTTACATCTGAGATTGTATTTATGAGCCAGGTTATAATTTAGAAGATTTTTTTTTTATTTTGTGTCATACAGCCATGATTAGATGAATATGAAAAAATGGTAATAAATCATAAGTTAATAAGTAAAATTAATATATACAATTCAGAGTCTGTATGGATATAAACAATTAAATACGTACATTGGTTTAGAAGATGTCAGAGTAACATTTGTATTTTCTCCCATTTGCATGAAACTAAAAAAAAACTAAAAATATTTTGTGTGAATGCATTAGTCTATGTTGTGTATGGGCCAGGGAGAGAAAGTAATGATACACCAACATCCTCTTAATACAGTTTTATATATCAATAAATAATTAATAAAAATTGTATACATTTTAGTATTTTGGGTACACGAAGACTCACCATTAATTCATCCAGTTGGTTGGGCTGGTCGAATAGGTCATAATTTATGTGCTCCTGATGAATATTGTGATAGAACATCAAAAGGCTTACGTGATAAAGATGATGCTACAGAAGATCTTTTTCCAATGTCAATACCATTTAAGTCAGGTTTTCAAGTTGGAATGAAGTTGGAAGCAATCGATCCTTTAAATCTTGCATCAATATGTGTTGCAACAATTATGAAAGTAATGATGAAAACATTATTTTGTTTAAAATATGACATGTTTTAAAAAAAAAACATACATTTTTTATGTTTCAGGTGTTGAATGATGGCTATTTAATGATCTCTATTGACTTTTATAATAGTACACCAAAAGATTGGTTTTGTTATCATTGTACATCAGCAAGCATTATGCCAGCTGGATTTTGTGAAGCACATGGTATTAATTTAAAGCCTCCTCAAAATTCTATTAATCCATTTGTATGGAAAGACTATTTAGTAAGTTCTAATAGTATAGCAGCTCCAGAATATCTTTTCGATATGGTAAGTACATATATTATTGTATTTGTATTAACAATTAATGTATTATTTAATAATTAACACAAAGAAACATGTGTGGGATAAGATAATTTACCTATATGGCTATCTATATTTATTTTAATTATGTATCAACAACTATTCATTACTTTTTAAGTATTATAGAAATTATTTAATGCAATATCAAAATGAAAATTTAGGTTGGTAATTTATAAAGTTAAATATAAAATACATATAAAATGTAACTGAAACTTAATATATTGTGTGTTAACTCATAAATTACTGGACTATTTTTATTTTATTTAAAATAAAAATAATAAAAAACTAAAATATTGATTTTAGCATACTACTCTAGCAGTTTATATTAAAATATTTATAATAGAATATATATTTACTAAATGACAAATAAATATTATTAATGTGACTTCCTCTTATTTAATGTAGTTTTGATTTATATGTTGTTTGATAGTGTTTAAAAAATCCACACCTGTTTAGAATTGATTACAATTCTTGAAATAATATATATTATAATGTTAATTATTATGAAGAAAAAATATATCATATTATATTAATAGAATAGTGATGTATTATTTTGTTAACACAATATTTTAATTAAAATATTAATCTGTAGGAAGTACCTGAGCATGGATTTAAATGTGGTATGAAACTTGAGTGTACCGATTTGATGAATCCTCATTTAATATGTGTGGCAACTATAGTAAGAACGGCTGGACGATTAATAGAAGTTCATTTTGATGGATGGGAAAATGACTTTAATCAATGGTTAGATTGTTGCTCATCTGATATATTTCCAGTGGGTTGGTGTGAATTAGTTGGTTATAAATTAGAAGGACCTATCACACAACCTACTCAAGGTAATAATTGTTAAATACATTTAAATATATTTGACTGAAATTTGATTTAATTTAATTTTTATTTTAGAGCATCGACCTAATAAACATAAAAAGAAAAAATCAAAGAAAAATCAACGTGTACCAGTCAAAAAAGTAACTGCACCACCTTTAGCTGAACATACAAAGGTTCCTTCTTCTTGTTATACTTCTGTGAATGTAATAATAACAAAAAATATTATTATGAAACAATACTAATATTAATATTATTTTATTTAGGTTTGTGAGACATGGACTGCTAAAAATAAAATAACTTGTAAACTAAGTCCAGTTTCAGCAGCTGAACCTTTAGGTCCAGATCAATCTTTACCAGTTGCTAGTGAAAATGTTAGTATAATTTTAATTTTTACTTATTTGGATAAAATGTATTTATGTTCATATCACTTTAGAACAATTACTAAAACATTTTTAGAATTACTATTTAGAAGAGATGTTTAACAGTGTTAACTTTAAATTAATTAATATTTATTTGTCTTAAGAATGCTACAAATATTAAAGAAGAACAAGAATTAAAACGATCATTTTTAGAAAAAGAAACAAATATGTGGAGCGAAAGAGATGTATCAGAGTTTTTACTGTTTAATCAGTGTGCAACGTACTGTGATGTTTTTTTAAGCCAAGTAATCAGTTTGTTTAAAATATTTATGTTTTATGTACTATTATGTTATATTAAAAATTATTTTTAGAATATTGATGGTATACAATTGTTGAATCTCACCAAAGAAGAAATTATACACATGACAGGAAATAAAGTTGGCCCATCACTGAAAATATTTGATCTTATACAAAAATTGAAAAACAAAACTAAAAGAAAAAAATACGTGTGAATTGACTTTATGAGCTGTGTTTGTGATTTTATATTAAAACATAATTTATACTTAAATATTTATCATGATAATTGATAATAATAATAATTATTACTATCTATGGTTATTAGATCGAATTACACTAAATTTTAAATAAATATGTATTTATAGTTAATTACTAAATAGTCTAGTGAACAAGAGAACACTATTCGACTTAGATTGGTTAAATAGTTTTAATCTATATTTTAATATGATTAGGGATAATAACAGACTAATAATGGAAATTGTTTTTGCTCAACTAGTATTTTTTAATCTGATTGAAATAAAATTCATTATTTTTAGAAAATTTAAATTTTTTACGAATGATTGAAAAATTATAAAATATGTTAAATTATTTATTATAGTATACATGAAAGTTTCATATTAACACCAATATTACCGTTATTTTAAAAATCCATTACTTATTAATGATATATGATTTAAGTATTGTTGAGCTTTGAAACTGTTGACTAAGACTATTTAAGAAATCACTTTTATAAAATATTACAAATTAAAACATTAGAACAATTTTTACATTAAGAATAGAATATTCATTTTTATTTTTATTAATGTTATCATATGATAAATTTAAATATTTAGTACTGTATTATTTTATTAGTATTTATTATTTATGTGTAATTTTTTTTCTGTTTAACTTATTCATTTTAATATTTAATAATAAACAGCTAATGGCAATCACGTTGGGAAGGGAATTGTTATGTACCCTTCCCATCAACACTGTGGCCTTTTTTTTTACTTATTAAGCAATAATTTGTACGCATTATCTGAATTAGATGTAATATTGACATTTGATATATTGTAATACAATCCACAGTCTAATCAAATGTAGTTTAGCACTATTGATTTATGACGTCGTTCCTATGATTTTTTGGCATTTTGCTATCTATCGAAGAGTCGACAAATCATAAAAATAAAAATCAATTGTTTTCGTTAATACGACGATAATACTGGTTTATTTTAGACATTTAATATATGTATGAATTATTTTCAATAAATATCGTAGGCATTAACATTAAACACGAAAATCATACTTATGTCGTAATTGTTGTTAAAGTGAAAACAGTCATTTATCAATGTATATTGGTATCATACGTTAATGCCTCGGAATAGATGAAATATCAACAATGGAAACAACGTTGTAGTGATAAAAAATGTAAACAATAATAATATTCGAAATCAATATAATAGTGTGTAGTGTTTACTCAAGTCTCAACCCATAACAAACTCCTCTCAAAAACAGTTATGGTATTAATTGTAATTTATAACGCAACGCGCATTAAAATATTGAGTTTTCCTTTAAATCGCCGTTAAATAAATCAACGATAATTTTATAGTAATGCTTTCCTTCGTTGGCGAATTGTTGCGCTACGACTAGAATACACGTGTAGTATGTATATATAACATCTATATAGTATAACCTGAGACAATATTATAATTTATGTAATCATATTTTGATACATATAAAGCAAGGTAAGTATTTATCGAATATAAGGACAGCATGTCTACACCTAAAAAACGGGACGGTTGACAATACCGATCGTCAAGTGCCACCTTATTTAGTCGGGCCTGAGAGGAATTCAAAAAATTTCCTCATTTCGGGTCGTCTAAACTTCGCGGAATTTGAAAAAAAAAATTGGAGGGGCGTCGGGCGGATGTACACGTATTATATTATATTGTGTGCTTTTCACGGTCGGCCGAGTGATTCACGTCTGCACGACGCACGCAGTACCGCCCCCTGGCGGACGTTACCGGCCACCGCGTTCCACGGCCAGTCGTCAGTACCGCCACCGATCACCTATCCCATCTATCCCCACCAATGCCGACGGACCGGCCCGCATGTGAGCAGTACCCATCTAGAAAAGGTCATTTGTCGGCTTTTGCGGCCGTTTTTGTGGCCACTGATCTGAAAGTCCGTGATGATGGCCGATGCGTCACGCCGTGGCCGCGTCAATCGGACACCGGGCGTAAAAAATGTTGGGAAAAACATGGTGGCCGCGTGCGCGGCGTACGAATACGCGCACGTCGCTCTGGCGGCGGCACGGCGCACAGCTGTTTCCCGCCATAACGCAGTTCATTGTGTTGGCGTACGTACGTGCATCGGTTACGCGCGCGCGCCATTTTTTTTCCTCGTCAGCTCCCCGTTGCCCGGCAAATCGCCGACGTCGCCGTCGTACAAACGCCCTGTAAACGAAATCGCGCGCAATCCGACGGGATTTTCGCTCTGACCGCCAGACGACGGTAACCGAGACGTATTAATAATAATAATATTATTTTATCGTCGAGCGTGGAATAACAACAGTTCGTTTGCGTGCTGTCGTTTTGAACGGAAAAAAACAAGGGGGACATCAGTTTCAGTTCGTTTCAAGCGTGCGCGACCCCCTCGCCAAAACAAACACCCGAAAACCGTTATCGTCGTCTCGCTTGCGCCCAACGTCGGGCCGGCGTTTCGCACGTATCATGGACACAGCCATAACGATCAGATCGGAAGACCGGTTCGACGATTTGCAACATTACGACCACGAGGACTTAAACTATTGCAGGTGAGCGGAATTTTCTGTTTGTGTGCCCTGGTGGGTGGGGTGGTGTGGGGGAAAAGATAATTAGTAAATTATACAAACGACGTCGGTTAGTTTTTCAATCCCGTTGCATGTGTGTGCGTGTGTGCACAGTTATCTGCAGTTTCGTACACGCCCGTCAGCTGTTGTGTGCAGTATCTTTATCAATGCACAAAAATAAAAACAAATAATCGATAACAAAACTCGTGTGTTGTCTATCGTCTTTCATAGTCGGCAGACTATGACACGACAGTTAGTAGTAGTTGTAAATTTGTTTTTCAGTTTTGTCGAATAGCGACTAGTACACGCTTTTATAAAAATCGTAGTTAGCAATAATTTTATTGCAGTCATCGTTTTGTCGGAACCGTTCCCTACCGAGAATTCTCTTATTAATTTACGAAGTGAATTCTCCGGTCAGGTCGTCCCGAACTCCCCGACTACTGAAGCAGCCGGACCGCGCGCGCGGCAGATGGTCGATCGGTCGCCGGCATCCAGCTGTTGGGCCAGCTGTCCTCCCCTATTGTTGTCGTTCTCACCGCGCGCGCGCTCTCTTGTGCGCCGGTGTGTGTACTAGTCGCCGCCGGCAACCGGTTTCGGCGGGCACAGCTGTCAAAACGGCAGCGTGTACACCGGTGCCGTATACAATGATAATAACGACGCCGACCGGTCCCGCCGTGTGGTGTGGGTTATTTTTTTTTCAATCCTACCGCCGATTCAGTGCCAGAGTGGCTCAATAGGGTGGACGGCCGGTGATACGACTATGTAGGCCACGCACTGAGTATTATTATTCTGTGTGGTCCTTGCGGACGGAAGGCCGTACACCGGCTGGCCGGCCGGCGAGCGTGGTTTCGTGTGCGGTGACTGGAGGAGCGGGACACAGACGGTCGGAGAAACCAAAACCCGACGTCTGCGGTTGGCAGTGCGCGCGCGCGCTCGTTTTCGCCCGTCCATCCGGCCGTGGGTAGAGCGTCACCGCCGTCGTCGCTACCCATCCTGTCTGGAGGTCACGGCGTCGGCGAGGCGAGCGTACTCGGCCGCAGCCGCGCCGCCGTCATCGTTTACAGCTGACGAACGAAGATAATAATGTGTTTAGTCCAGGATGGAACGAAATGCGCGATTTCGACGGCTGGCGGGCGAAGGGGGCTCGACGGCGATTATTTATGGCAAAGAAAAATAACAATAATAATAAATCGCACAAGGACACTGGTGTGCGAAAAATAGAAAGAAATAATAAACGAGTTGGTGGTTGGTGTGAGACCGAGAGTAGAGGAGGAGAATGCGTTCTGAACTCGCCGAAACGAGTTCTGACAAAAATCTAACTGATTATAAAACGACCACAGACATGACGTACCTATTTGACTTTTATGACGACTGCGTCCGGTTAGGTTAGGTTAGGTATATACGACCATATCATAATCTAGCCTAATTTTTTTTCTTGTCTTAAAAATTATCTTAGTCACGCGCGCGTGAGTCACTTACGTGTGATAAAGTTACGTTCGTTGACGGCTAAAAAGTTATCCATGTTCGTATTTCAAGTAGTGTAGTTTTTTATACACACGTATAGTATTAAACATTTGTTTTTGTCTAGTTGCATGATGTTGTTTTTGTGATGTACCTACTTCTATACTGTCAATGTACTCTCGAATATACACATCGTTCAAAGTCTAGAGTTTTACATGGCAACAAAAAACTAAACTTATTACATATTTGTTACGTGTTTTAACTGTGTTGACCTGGGTTATGGTACTTCCGTATTTTTACCTGTAGAAAATGCGAAAATCAACGTTTGAAAAAAACATTTTTAAACTGTAAGGGTTGTTCACTTACATATTGTACTCCTATTGTGTTTAACTGTATTAATATCAAATTGCTATCAAATTTTCGGTAAATTCCATGATCTATAGTTAGACTTTGAAATTAGTTAAAAATATCAAGTTATATATGATAATAGGTATAATATAACATTGTCGATTAGACACTAAGACGTAAGAATTTTAATAAACTGTTTTTATCTTTTAATCTAGATAACTGATTGAAAGGAAATTCCATTTGAGGTCCATTGTTTTGTAACGAAAATTTGTAAAACAGGTGTTTTATAAAAGTATCGGAGGATTATCGAAAAAATTGATAAGAGTTGATAAAGTTTCAAATTCATTAACTTTTGGGAATGAAAAATGATTTATTCCAATTTTGAATTTATTTATTTCATAATGCTACTGTTTATTAAACGCATGTCATTTTAGATAGGAATTTTAAATATTGGAATTTTGTGGGACTAAATAATTTCGTGATATTTAAATACATCACCGTTGTCTTAAGAATTTAAATTATTGTTTTGCAAACTCTATTACTACAGTCATTGATTTAGTTGATTGTTTTAAATGTTAATCGAATTAGTAGTAGAGTATTGAATAAGTAACAATCAATAATTTCTTTTTTTCGTTCAATTTTATTTCTTGATTCAACTATACAACGCTAAAATAATGTTGGCAACTAAAGTACTATTGTGTCTACTGAGTTTGTATGGTAACAAACTAACACTAATCATTGTCATGTTCTCTTGTATAACTCTCAATATGACCCTCCCATCTTTTAATATTCATCCATATCGTTACTTACATTGTATTGTGTCGCAATGAAAAGAAAATGACATAAAAGAAGCACTTCCACAAAAACACGTATGATGTATTATATTAAACACCAGCTGTCGCCTGTTGGCTGTAAAATTTATTTTAACATGCTTTGATTTGTTTTGGTTTTTAGTTAAGTCAATAAATTAAATCTTCCAGATTAAATTTAGTGAAGTGCTCGTATAATCACCTAGTTTAAGAATTTATTAGGAAATGCTTAGGTTTATTGGTATGTTTTTAAACGGTATAGTACAATTTTGACTTTTTGAGGATTTTTTAATCCATAAGAATTAGTAGTTGTATATGATGGTGGTTTTCCCATAAAAGCCTAACCTAACATACTGGTTTAAATTGTTCACGTTTTGTTTGTTAACCTAATACCTATTGCACTTAAAATGTTAATTCAATTTAAACAATAGAAAGTTTGGAGTGATAAGGGTTAAATGGATACTCCTTTGTGCAATCATTTGAAAATAAAATATGAAAATACATTAGAAAATTACCTCAAAAATTACATTCAAATAAATCTAGAAAGATAACGTATTGCGAAATATGGGACTATGTAGACTAAAGTATGCAAAGAAGACTTAGAGCTTAGTCTTTCCCAAGCTATTTTAAGCATTACATAATATGTGTTGAGTGAGGGTATTAAAATTAGATGGCCTGATATGATGTGTACAACTGCAATCAACTACAGGTAATTAGGTTTTCTTTATACCTGTCGTCCTATTGATGATTGTTAATTGTTGTTAGCAATGTACTCTCAAATTTTCGGTAAATTATCGTTATTGGCATCCGTAGAATTATTTCTGGAGTGTAATAATTCTTGATAATCACTTGGACTCTAAATCCTCTCTCCTTTATACTATGTCAAAAATGCTGATATAAAATTGATTTTTACGTCTAGCCTGACAAACGCGTCCGAGGAAGGAGTGGATTCACCTCCGGCAGGACTTACGCCCATCGTGGTTGGTCATAGGACGCCCCAAATGACCGTCAGCATGGAGCACGAGAAACGGATGCGTCGGGAGATCGCCAACTCCAACGAGAGACGTCGTATGCAGTCGATAAACGCGGGTTTCCAGAATCTGCGGACACTCATACCGCACCACGAGGGCGAAAAACTCAGCAAGGTGAAAAATTAATAATGCTTAAAAATCTATCATATCTTTTTCTTTACATAATAATTATTATTTTATAATAAGCGCAAGTAAAGATTATATAATATACCATATATTATTATACTATCGTATATTATAATCTTATATATCATATGCGTATAAAACTTCATTGTGTGTTATTATTTGGCGGGCGATAGTGGTTTTTTTTTTTTTTTTTTTCGGCGGTCTAAAATCACTGCATTTCGTCGCCTCTTTATTTTCGTTCTGGTCATCATTATTGTTATTATTATATTTTTACGTTTGCGTCGTCCTTGTCGATGCGTGCACACATAATACTATTATACGCGCAACGATTTCATTCATCGAGCCCATCATCTGCGGCGGCTCGAGTATAATAATATTACACAGTATACACACACACAAACACACACCCACACAAACACACACCCACATCTACTACGAGTACTTAACTCTGTAGGCTTTGTGTGTGTGTGTGTGTCGTTGGCGGCGGCGGTACGCGAGACTCGTGGGGCCACGATATGGGTGTCGCAGCAACGGGCAGCCAGTCAGCTGTTTATCTTTTGGTTTATTACACAGTGTGCTGCGTGCGTTTGTGTGTGTGTCTCGTAGTCCCGTCCGCCCGACCGTCAATCGAAAGTTCCCCACTCTTATTTAACACCGTTTCGTACGATGACTATTATATTGTACGTTGTTTCATCCGCAAAGACCGCCGCCGCGGCACATACGTCGTTCGGCACAGCTGATGAATGCGGCGGTTATAGACCATCTCTCCCACCCTTTCTCTGTCGTCACTCCGCTGTGAACATAAGCGCGCCGTCCACTGTTGCCAACTTCTAATAATATTTTTAAAAAAAATGTTTAATAATAATGCAATGAATACAAATTAAAAATTCCTTTCGATTGGATTTGAATTTACAAACGGTCGGGGATCGGCAAACGCCGCTGTTGTTTTGTAAATTGTGACGATCGTCTGAGCCGTACGGGTAGAATGAAGTTACGGCGTTAATAATATTTCCATTTTCTGCCCGCGTTTGGGTCACGACAACAACTACTACGACTCTGCGAGCACAGACCGCCGCCACCGTCGTCGTCGTCTCGGATACTTGCGGCGGTGTCGGTTGGTTCAACGCACTCGTTGTCCTTCACGCCTGTAGTTTCTCGTCCCGTGTGCGCCGTCGCCTGTTCTTGGAACCGACTTGTTCTTCAGTTCTTCACCGCTTTTTCGTCCGCACTCGCCCGTTGCGGCGGTGCATCCACCATTATCATCAGCGTTCCCGCCCCACCATGCGTCTATTACCCAGCGTAATGCATAATAATTACAGTACACGGTACACCGTTGTGTCGAACGTGCGTGCATGAGGTTTCGTTATATTTATCATATTTAAACACATAATAATACATACAACGTGAGAGCGGTTTAACGTTGTATGCACGTCCGCTGGTATTGTTTCTAAAAATAGACGACACGTAGATAATAAAGTATACACGGCCGTCTATTTCTAGTAGACCATAATTAAATAATAACATATTACAATATTGTAGTCGCTAGTCGTGTACTTCAACTGACCTACGGCATCCGGTAACGTGTTTTTGAATTTGAACCCGTTTTATGATTGTCACGGTGATCATTTCATCGGATAAAAAAAATAAACAGACGTATAGAAGCAAATGCTTTTTCAAAGCGGCGTCTCCTGCTCACCCTCTTACCCCCAACAATGAGGCACATCGTTATCGGTGATGACGAGAATCTCGTGGGGTACTCTTTCGGCGGCAGTGGTAGACGCTCCACGCCCCGTGACGCTATCGATCCCATCGCGTGGGAGCTGACGTCAGCCGTCGGTACGCTTGCGCCCGTACGTGACGTCAGCATCGTTATTACTACCAACCCGGCGTAATGTTTTCAGCGGGTGTATCGACCCTATGTGCCGCTGTTTTCCGAAATGTTTTTCCAAAAAATCGCGCATCTTAACTACCCCCTCTCCATGATTTCCGGTGCCCCGTTTGGTAACCGTAGTAACGCGTCTCCATTTTCTACCTTCACGTTAAAAAATCTGATGTCGTGCTTTTCACATTTTAATGAACGGTATAAATCATTGTCGCGCATACCACCGTGATGACACTACTACTACTACTAC